GTAATAAACATTTATTTTATTCATCATAAGTTTTCAGATTTGTTATATTTTTGACATAATTAGGTATGCCAAGATCCAAGTAGCACATGATGTAGCAAAGACATTACTATGTCATGTGCTACTTGGGGAGGGGTGCCCAGGATCACTTCTGGATAGTATTGCCAGGATACCCTCCTTAGCTATACTCCTGCATAACATTATTTGCATAAATCAAAAATTCAAAATATCTCTAGTTTTATGAATTTTTTTGTATAATTATTAGATTATTATTTCAAAGTAACATTCAAGAAAATATTAACATATTTCTGGGGTTTAAAATCTTATTTGCATGAAAATTCGTTTGGCATACCACTTGTAACAAAATGATAAATTGATGCTACGTTCTAGTAGGAATGGTATTTTGAGGAAAAGACCAACCTCAAATTATTCTAATTTATTTACTAACCAACCTCTCAAGGCAAACTGGAAATGACCTCAGACATTCCCATTTTTTTAAAGTGAATATTTCAGTCAACTTCACTTTTTGGGGTCATTCGGAACTTTTTTGTAATAAGTATAAAATTTTCCAGAATGTAAATATAGAGGACCAGGTAAAAAGTTAAGATTTCATAGTTTTATAAAATGAATCATTTTTTTAATTTAAAAAATGCTAAACCCTGAACATTTGCTTCATTTAAAGTATTTTTATTATTGGAAGTATTATGTTTTATGACCAATGTTTGAAAAAATAAAGGCTAAAGAAATGGTGTACATATGAAAAAAAATATTACTTTAAAATATGAAAAAGCATGAATAAAGTTAGCAATTTCATTGTGTTATTTATATTTATTTTTAGGGTATGAAAAAAATCTCACTGTTATCAGGGCTTAAATCAATGTAATCATGTATATGATACTTGTCAGCTTTTGAGCAGAATCTTCATTTCAGCCAAAATACGTTAGATTACAAATAAGACAAGCTCCTGTACTTTACCATACGACTGAAATGCAATATTAACAGAAAATTCTATCACTGATACATAATTTTATTTAACAATAAATAAATCTGATATTGATCCTGAATGCATACTAAATCACAGGTGGAAACCTGACCAGTTGAGAAAGAAAATCACTCATGTCAATAGGTGATCCTATTAGGAAGAGATAAATAATAAAATATCTTCAAACATTAGAAGTAAAAAAAAAAAAGATGCAATTTTATTTGTGAAGAATACTGACTGAAACATTTATCTTTTTTTCCCTAAATTCTTAGCATCATGTTTCATTATCAGTTTACTCACATTAGATTTGCTTCATTATTTCATTTAATGTTCATGACTTTCTTTTTGTTCAATTTATTAATATTTTTATTCTTGTATATTTCATTTAGCTTTGATTATTCATTATTTATTTTTGTCATTTTTTCCTGACAGCCTTCTATAGGGCTTTCATATTTCTCTGTTAAAAATTTGGCCCTTACTGTAATATTAGAATAAGTTTCTTTTCATACAAGCTATTATGAAAAGGTTTTCTGGTAAATAAGGAAATAATCATTTCTCAGTTCACAATCAGCCAATACTCGAGAGAAAAAGAATTCTTTTCTCGAAAGAATACATCCTAAGTATCCATATATGTAAAAAATATATAAGTTAAAATATAAATATGAGAAACCATATAAAAATTTAGATTTTGTATCTTACAAAATTAATTTTTTTTAAATACCAAAACATGAATATCTGAAACATTTTTATAACCGGAAGTATACATTGCAAATAAGGGCCTGGTTAAAGACTTTTGTGAACATGGTAATTTATTATAGTATATAGATAGTGAGATAAAGAGATAAAATATTTTAAGTCTTCTAACTATTTTTAAAAATCTCTCTATGTTTCTATATCTCATGGAAATTTAGAAATAAAAATGCTAAAACTTCATGTTTTTATTGCATTAAAAAAATCAGTATTTTTTGGGAGTTAAAATTATCTAAAATACTTTGGTAATCTGCATCTCTTTTTCCTGATATTTTCCCTCGAGTAGTTAAGCTCTGCTGATTTGGTAAACCGGTATGCCTCTTTTAAGATCAGTATCAAGACTATAAAGTTGTTGCTGCAAATTCATTTCTGAGAGCACTTTTCATCTAGGTAGAAGATGAAAAGTGCTCTATTCTCTATATTCTTTATTTATTAATGTTAAGGCAACTGCTAAACCATTTACAATGCAAGTTCTGTAATTTCTGCACTAATGCATGTTTATGCTAAGATTGAAAAGAAAATAAGATTTTACATGTTTATAAAAATCACTTACTGCAGGAAGATGAACAATATTTTGAAAAGATTGGCAAATCTCATTTATTTCATAATTTGAGAATTTTAAGAGATTAAGATTTCCGACCATTCTTTAGCTTCAACAATACTTCCCATTAACCTATAGCATGGACACTCTCCATAGTTACCTAAGTAAAACTTTTTTCTCATCTGTAAAGGGTTAAAATAGTAATTCAGTTTTGGGATTCTTTATGACTGGATACAATTTCTTCTTTTGTAATTAATATTTTAGGGTTTTAAAATAAAACAGTTTTGGCTGGGAAATTGTCATCATTGTTTTAGTTTTTAAAATTTTTTGTTTAGTTTTTGATCACCACTTGAACAATTTACCTTCGATTCTCTTATAATGAATTCAGCATGCTTTTTAAATGTTCAAATCAACCAGAACTACTTAAAGAGCTCTTTTTGCATACTATTTCATTTAAAAAATGGAATGGCTCTATTTGTTTACAATACTGAAACAAGAATGTGGCTTTTACGAGGGTTGCTATTTATATTTTTGGCCTAATAATGAAAAAAATTAATGTTTATGATCGAAATTGGCTTACCTGCTATCTATTTTTATTTTAACATTGGCTGAATTTTGCTTACTTGCTCTACATAACTATTTACTGAGATAAAACATTGGAGGGGAAAAAACCCACCAAATAGTAGATAAAGGCAAGAATGAAGAGGAGAATCTGAATTTTGAAGTTTCTCACATTCAGTGAAAATTTATTATTTTAGAAGAAAAGATGAAATAATTAAAAGACGTAAGATAGTGAAAGTTAAAAAACTTTCGTTGGATTTGGGTCGTCTTGGAAGATCCATACAATCGACTGCTGTTTTTGTTTTGGTCTCATATGCATAGATACATGATTCGTTACCTGTGTACATGTTATACACAGCCTTTGATGAACCTTGAACTTATTTTTCTAACATTTTCCTTGCACTAATTGACACGAGCCTTCTTTTGAGCATTTGTCAGATTATGCGGGATCCAACGCAAACAAAACTTTTTTATGTCCAAATGTTCATGTAAAATCTGATTGATGCTTGTCATACTAATGCCGAAAGATGCCTCAATCTTACAGTATGTCACATGACAATCTTGCTTTATCAGTTCACACACAGCATCAATATTTTTTGGCACAACAACCGATTTTGGATGACCTTCACAGAATTCGTCCCGTAGCGAATGCCGACCAAAATTAAATTTGTTATACCAGTTTTTTACTACTGCAGGATGGTGCTTTATCGCTCTATAAAGAATTAAGTTCATTGAAGCTCTCGTTTTGATAACCAACGTCAAAGGTTATGAAAAATGTTCACAAGTCAAAGCAATATAAAATATTAAACAATATAAATCACACTAAAATGGCAAATGTTCTGAAGAAGTTATAGTTAAAAATACCAAACTTTCGAATGGAATCGCCTGCAGTCACCTAGCAACACTTTTTAACTAGTCTTCAATTCTTAGTAACAAATATTTCATTTAATCATTTCCTTGCTTTAGCTTCAAATTATCTGTATTGCAGTTGGAAATGAAATTACATGTTGTTCTTATTCAGCTCATTTAGAATGATCTGTATCATTGCTTTGTGCATTTCAGAATACCACAGTTTTAACTTTCACTATCTTACGTCTTTTAATTATTTCATCTTTTCTTCTAAAATAATAAATTTTCACTGAATGTGAGAAACTTCAAAATTCAGATTCTCCTCTTCATTCTTGCCTTTATCTACTATTTGGTGGGTTTTTATCCTCCAATGTTTTATCTCAATAAATAGTTATGTAGAGCAAGTAAGCGAAATTCAGCCAATGTTAAAATAAAAATAGGTAGCAGGTAATAAATAGTAGAAATATGCTCAACTGTATTAAAAGAGGAATGACCATATAATGCTTCTCATAAACAAATAAATGTTTGTTTTCTGTGTTAAGCAAGGGATTTATCATAAAAGGATTACAACAAATAAATTTACCTTTTATTCTTACATATATAATACAATACTTAAAGAAACATATTCCCCCCCCCCATGTTTTGAGACAGAATAATTTCACAATGGTAAATAACTATTTTTGATAAATGAAGTATTTCATCTAACATTTAAGAGTTTATTTTAATTATGATAAATTATTAACTGAATACAGAAAACATGATTCATTATCTTTTTTTTTTTTTTTTTGGTATTAAACTTCAGAATTATATTTAAAAAATTCCATTTTTATAAATAGTATTTAAAAATATCTTACAGTATTATGACTGAAACTGGCATAAATGATTACAGAATTTTAATAATTAAATTAAAATACATAACTTCAGTTAATAAAGATAAACCAATAGTATTTGTTTCAGAGGAACATTTTTCAAACATGAATCTTATAATTTCTATAAACTAAAAAGTTTTATAATCATGCATAATAGATGAAGACTTTATGACCAAACACTGTAATCAAAAAGTTTTAAAAAGCTAATATGTAGAAATCAATACCAAATATACACTTTTTAAAAATGAAACCTAAAGACAAGTTATTTTGTTGAATATGCAGTTTTTTCTGAACATTAAAATTTTTTAGAAATAAAATAGTATCCAACTAAATATTTTCAAAAAATTATCAATTTTAATGCAATATTTTTCCTAAAATTTTTGGTATTTAAATGGCACTTCGAGAGGCCTGGTTTAAATATTTATTATTACACATGCTATAAAAAACGGCAAAGATTTCTAATAATATTTATTGTTTTAAAAACATGTATAAAGTTCCATTTAAAATCAGGGTACGTTATACAAAGGCTCTAATAACTTAGTTACTACAAAGAGGAATTTTGAAAACAAGTATCACAACACAAACAGAGATTGTTGAAGACTGACATACACAAAATAATCCTTTTTTTTTTTAATACAGCCAAACACAATGGCTATAATAATTCCACATATATACAACTGAACATCTGCTTGCGGAGAAAGGTGGTTTAGAAATTGAGGTTTCCATTTCTGTATGTACCATATCACATAATGAGGGAGCCACTTGTTTATAAAAGCACATAGCTGTCAGATTCCTGTAATGCCATTTCCAAGTCAGGAATCAATCATTTATGAATAGTTGACTAGTATCCAAAATCAGATTCTTAACCAGAGTTTTAAGCCACATTTCTCTGTGAACCTCAATATGGACCATTCCACCAATTAAAAAAATCCTTTTCATGTGGAAGCTACGTATTAGGAGCAGCAGCTTCAGCTACTTGCCCTGACCCTGAACTTTCATCTGAACAGGTTGTATCCATTTGCAAATCTGTAACAAAAGAAGGCAAAGTTTTTGAAATACAGAAATAACATTTAGTACAGGAATAATATGTATAAAATCACCGAAACTAGCTGGGCATTTCTAAAACTCATTTATGATCAAACAAAATCAAGACTTAACAGACATGCAAGACTATACTGTTACTAACTTAAAATTTTAAAGCACAACAAATTTTTAGTTTTTTTGAAATATCACCAAATACTTACATCAACTATTGAAAAATTTATACAAGCTGAGAATTATAAAAAATTTTAGCAGTATATCCATTTTTAACCGAGGGGGGGGGACAGAAAGCTATTTTCATGTGAAACAAAAATATTAGAAAAGTTTACGACTGTATTAAGTGAAAAAAGTTTATGCTTAAAAGCAATAAAACTATATGTAGAAAAATATTAATTTGCATTGATAAATGCACTATAGAGTAAAAAAAAAAATTAGGTATTTAAGATTAAGTCATGTAATGACAAATTTTTAATCAAAAGTGTCAAAAAGAAATGCAAGGAAACTGTATAAAATCATTTTTAATTTGTTGTTATCATTTCCCTTCTTCCTTGAAATTCTGTTAATGTCCCAATATTTTCTAAGAATACTGTGATAGTAAAAAGAAAATACTTTTTTAGTAAAATTTAACTAAAATTGTGTAATTTAAAAAAATCCCCCTTCCCCCATGTATACTTCATTTGATACTTTTTTAGTCCATAGAATAGGAAACAGAAAATCACTGCCTTTGAACATACGAAATTATTCCTTCTAATTAGCGAAACAATGAAAGGCATGATGTCATCTTTCTTTCAATTTATCCACATAAGATTACGCTCAATTCATTTTAACTTAGAAAATGCTAGCAATGAGGAATTAAATTTTTAAATTTAAGTATCAATTATAGTTAGCATAGATTTACTTAAAAAAAAAAGCATGCATTCAGTAAATGATGTTAAGAGATTCTGAAGAAATTTCTTCAGTAAACTTTCTTTCAATTATCCAATAAAGAAAAGATCAAAATTCTGTAAATATCAATTTGACCTTAAAAAAGTATCTATATCAAATTTTGCAAAACATCACTGTGCAATTTTGAATTGTAATTGCAAATATGTATACAAAATTTTCAGAAAACTAGCTCTGCTCTGAGGAAAGGCTTCAAAAGTAATTTCAAAATTCAACTCTAAGAAACAGTGAAACCAAGCTAAATAAAATTTCATAAAACACTTTGTATAGATAGAAGTAAAGGATATGAATTCTTTTTTAAGTTCTCTGCATTGTGCATTCATGCCATTAAAAAAAATCAAACATGAAATTGTTGATAAAAATTCCTAGCTTTGATATTAATATTTGTAAATTAAAATGACAATTTTAATACTATTTTAGAACCTAAGTACTGCTTCTAAAGTAATTTTTTCCAACCCTATTATGATTTAATAATCTATGCACAATGAAATAACAAAAGAACAGCAAGCTAAATTTCCCATTTAATATTACTTAATGCAAATTTACATTGTTTTCAAAATTCTACTGTCAGATATTCATAATGAATCAAAAATAAAAAATGAGTAAAAAATTGCTAAATCAGAAATATTAAAGAAAAAGAAAAAAATGGGATAAATGAAAAATAATTCCATGCTAAATTTACCAATTTTTTTCTTTAAGAAAATGTAATTTATCCTTAAATTACTCTTTTATCAGATTTTAATTTATCCCTAAAAAAGTAATTTATTTTCAGTGAAAACTTGCAAAAAGTCCAAAAATAAATAAATAAAAATAAAAATTCCAATTCTTTCTAAGGGAAATGGGTCTACATAATTCTTCTAAAAATTTCCAGCCAGAACAGAGACAAAACCTGCAGCAGAATAAATAAAAATATCCAATTTTAACTTTGATAGGGCACACATTAAGCATGTCAGTCACAGTCTATCCAGATGGCATTGACATAAACTTTATTACCAATCACAGTTGGCCACTCATAGGAATGCTCTTATCTGAAGTCTGAATAGTTTCAGAAATATGTAAATCTGCCAATCTACCCTTCGAAGAAGACATTTTTGCTAAGTTACTGTAAATTTTGCCCTAATCCTACTGTAGTATGGAAGGCAATCAGCAGCCAAGCGGTTGATAGTTCAGTCTGTGGTTCAAATTCCAGCAAATGGGCTGGCTGCATGAGCAGGTTTTCCCCGTGTAAGAGTATACAAGCTGGTCTCTCTCCTCTTAGGCAGATAGTCGAGTGCTTTGCAATAATCAGACTAAATCGAACCTCCTGTAATATTGCTTTATAACCCTTGGTATTTACAATTACTGTGCACAAAACAAGTAACTAAGACCAAACCATAAAAAAAACATGTCTATACAAAAATTCTTCCTTCATTAAAGTTCACAATGGAGACAATATGCTCTGATAAGTAGTGTTTCCCTCACAACTGTCACATTTATACACATCTGTCAGGTCTTCAATGGACAGCATGATTCATTATTCCATAAGATGTTCTTGCACTGTTCCAGTATCCATTGGAGATGTATTTTTTTAAAGAGTTATTTTCAATGGGCTTGATTCATTCAATAAGCTTTTGTTTCTATGATACACCCACATAATTTACATGTTAAGCACCTCTTGAAGGATGATACAAGAGCTGGAGTAACTTTTAAAAAGCCTAGCATCCTTTCTAATGAGGCTTGTTTAGTTTGATTTTATTACATCTTGGAAGAAATGATGATCCTGATCAGTCAAATTTTCTAATTTCCCATGTCAGAACTGGAGTTTTAACATTCTCTGATGTTTTCATTTTATTCATCTACCCCTTATTGTTGCATATGATATCTGGAACTTAAATCTCATGGATAGAATTGGCTACCACTGATGATCAGGCTACATTGAGTATTTTCAACTCACGCCATGCATTCATTCTGAAAGTTGTAATTGATATAGTACATATCTACTGTGAGCTTGCAATCTTTTAGAATTGCGAGATACATAAATGATCTACTGGCTATATTACTTATGTTCCAATGGTTAGCTAGCTATTACTGGAAATACACTGCAGGTCCCCACTGACAAAAGACTGAGAGATAGGATAAAAAATGATTCGAAGAAAGATAAAAGTTGGATGTCATGGCTAAAAGTACGTTAAGGAAGAGACATTACATTATAAAGCAAAACTAAAGGCTTTATTTATCAACTAGAGATTACGAGAATGAATGAAGGCTTTGCAAGCATAATAAAGAATCAGTTACAATGATTTTAATAATTAGTAAAATTATATCTTTATTTGGCATCGACAACAAACTGATTTTTAAGTCTGGTATCGTGGGGACATCGACATTTCCAGATTTAAATCTATAATGATATATAGACACGTCAACACTAGGGGGGGTTACTTCTTGTTTAGGTCAGACAGAAAAATGCTAACCTCATGCCTTCTACATGAGGCCTGTGCGACCACACCAGGTGTACGAATTTAGAGGAGCACACAGCAGCAAAAACTAAGGTTGGTAGCATTTTTAGACTATTGGGAAAGGCTGTGCAGTTGTAATATGGGACCCCTGGTACATTTAGATACTCTGTCAGGTGACAGACACGTAGGCATCCTGTCTGATCACTTACAACCATTTATTTCCACTGCACTTAAAAAACATCTCCAGCAAGACAGTGGAACATCCCACGCGTTGAAAGTTGCAAGTGAGTGGCTTTTAACTTTAGACACATCCACTGACCACCTAGATTCCCAGACATGAACATCACTCAGCATACCTGGGATGCCTTGCAAGGTGCTGTTCAAGAGTTATCTATCCCCTTGCACTCCTATGGATTGCCTTGTGCATGATTCATGGTGTAAATTACCTCCACCACAAATTCCAGCATTAGTCAAGTCCATGCCACATATTATGGCATTTCTGCAGGCTTACAGGAGCCCTACACAATATTAAGCAAGTATACCAGTTTTTTGGCTCTTCAGTGTACATGAATCGAGAGTTCAAGGTTGATTTTTTTAACTCACATTAAATTAGTTACAATACTTAAAACCTTAAACTATTCTGGAGACAATTCTTGTAGCCCTTCGTTTGGTCCCCCCTTGCCCCACCCTAACTACGCCACTGTATTTAATTTGTAAGGCTTGATGTATGACTCTTCCTGTTCTTAATTATTGTCTTACTTCCATGAGACAATGACTCTTCTCTCTTTATCAATTTCTTATTTTACTCTCATGGAATTTCACTTCTTGTCCATTCAACAATGACTTATTTCTAATTAGTATATTATGGCCCACAAGGCCAAATAAACATATATATAATGTATCAAGAGAAATTCATGGTTTGCATACTAGTAATTTGGGTTGTAAATTGTGCCCAGCTGCAGTGCCACAGAGATCATTATGGACTGCAGCTGAATTCCCTTAACGAACGAGTTTCAATTTTTTTCTGGGGGGGGGAGTGATTCTGGATTTAAAAACTGACATACATATTTTTAGTGGTGCAACTATGAATATTAAAAATCAAGCAGTTGAAAAGAAACCTCAAACTGGTTTACAAATTGTTTCATCGAATGTGAAGAAAGGTAAAAAAATTACAAATGCTGTGACTAGAAACATTTTAAAGAAAGTACAACTTCTGTGAGCAAGTATTTAGTAGAAAACTATTTATCAGCTAAGTAAATCAAATGGTAGAATTAGGATTTGCCAACATTATCAGCATGATATATTAATCAGCCTCAGAAATGGTAGAATTCTACAATGTTTGTAAAAAAAATTTAAAAAATCTAAATTCAATGTTTTTGGACATGACTGATAGCACAAGGTGTACTGGAAAGCTCATAACTGAGCCAGAACTGAAAAACCTTAATCCAAGACAGAAATGGATAGCAACAACCTGATGGTTCGAGACTATACAAATGCTCAAAATACTGCAAAACTTGTATTTGGTAGATGGTAAATGGACATATACATGTCTTAAATATTTTGAGAGAATTTTAAACTAAGCGCTTAAAATATGTATATTTTATAATTAAACAGCACCAGGATAGTAATCACGAGGATTATGTCTATATTTGCAGACTATGGGCAATGTACCAACATCCATCAACATTTCAGCCCAGAATCCTGCTTATAGTTTTATGCACTGGGTAATTATTATTATCCATACTTTGGAAATTATGGATTATCATGACCCACGCAGTGAACTAAGTGATAATTTTTCATGCGATGAAAAAAAAAGTGTTTTTCGTATATAATACTATGTGCATCTACTAATCCACTTGTAATTAAAATTTTATTTATAATTGTGAATTAATTGTTAACAATTACGTGCATTTATTATTATATTACTTTCTTCTAGGAGCCTTCTGTCTTACTTTTTTCACAGCAACTACATACCTATAGATCACATTGGACTGCTAATCCAAAAAAGATTCGAAATAAAAATTTAAGAGGAAACAATGCACTTACAAACGACTTTCACTCACAATTATTATTTTCCCCTTTAATTTAGAAATTTCAGAATAAAATATATATATATAAATTCATTTCAATTCATATACTTCTTTGTTACATCTTACACGTGTTCCAGCACTGAAAATTTAGTACCGATAAAGTTAAAGTTTTTAATATTCATTATTTTTTCTTCTTAATTTAGAGATTTCTGAATAACACATTTAATATAAAAAAATAATTTCAATTCCTATACTTCTTTTTCACACTTCAGTTGTGTTTAAACACTGAAAATTTAGTTCAGATTAAATTCACGTTCTTTATATTCATTATTTATAATTAATTAAAATATCAACATATACGTAGCCAATTATGCTTGATTACAGACAAGACACATTCAGAAACTCCGACGACCTGCAATATAATATAAATACTTTTACAAGTTGAAAATTACCTGAACAAGTTAATTTCTGTAAACTCTCTGGCAATGATGCTGTGCTCATTGCGGCGTTTTCCGCTCTAATATCCGGCATGGCATTTCGTCGACCCGTCCTTCCGGTCTGCAAAAAATCGTCAAATGCAGGAGATGTCGCTTGGTTTTCCACTTCCATGGCCATTCACAGAAATGCTAAGTCTGCGGAACAAGAAAACTTTGTAACTAAACCAAATGCAAGGCGCAATCACAACATGGAAGACTTAATCAAGCATCAATCAAGTCACAGCAACGACGAATGAAATCCTACGCCTGGTAGTAATTTCAGTGGTTTACTACATGAGTGGCGCCATCTATCGAATATCGCTAAACAATAAAGAAAGAAACGTGTGGTAAGAAAAGGCGGAATTAGTTACGCAGTTTTTTCTTTCTTTCCCCCGCATCCTTGATGCAGTATATGTTACAACTTTTCAGTATTTAAAAATTAAGAAAATGACATCACACTGTAGATGTAATTAATGAGCAGACATCAAAGTATTAAGGCAATTTGAAATAGAATGAATTCACACAAGTATATTTAGGAATTTTCAAGCTAAACTTTGCTATGGTAAAGGTAAGAAATACAGTTTCAGTTTGATAAATAGAAATTTTAAAAAATTGCATTGGCATTAGTTTTTAATGAGAAAACTAATGGATTGTATATCAGGTACGTAATATATGGCATAATATATAATATACGTAATATATGGCGTCATTTCTAAAATTAAGAAATACTGAAGCCCTATGAGAGGCGGTTAGAAAAAATAAATGAATCAAATGATTAATAAAATAATTAATAATTAAAATCAAAATTGAATACAATGTAAAGAGACAAATAAAAATTATAAATTAATAATATATCGTTAAAAAATAAAATTCTAAGCCTCATCTGCTTTGGAGCATCTGGTTGGAATTATAATTTCACTCAAAAGCTATGAAATAGTTCAATAAGACTTCGCCTGGATTTAAGCCCTGAATATACAGTATAATGTGGTATGAATGTGGATGAATAGAAATAAAGATCTTTCTTTTCCCTTCACACCGTTGAAAAATGTTAAAACGGTAAAGCGTCACTAAGGAGAGTAGAGAAAACGCTAGAAAGACAGTATGGCAGAGAATTTTAACGGAGACGTGTAGGTATGAAAACAAAAGAAGAAAGATCTAACACTTTCTGACCACGATCCCCAGTCGATATTATTTACCAGTTGTATGTGTTGCAAGTTATATTAAAAAATAAACTGACAATTTTAAATTATTGTGAAGGGTGTTCATTGCATTAAAGTCACTGAATTTATTAATCTATTACAAACTAAAAAGATAAATTAGAAAAATTAGGTTTTGCAAAAATGGCAAAATTCTGCGTACGAAGATGCATGAAAGATATACAATAATAGCCCCACTTAACGTATACTCGAAGTTAATATATCGCGTGCTATGTCCCCCCCCCCAAACATGAAAGACCAGTTAAAATTGTACTAAGAAGTCTCCTTATAGATCGGTGGACTGATGACATTACTGAGTACCTTAAAACTTTTAACTTTAAAGAATTAAAAAATAATAATAAATCTGAAAGCTTTGAAATTTTCTATTATGTCCAAAGGGGCGTTTTTTTTTTTTTTTTTTTTTTTTAACGTTTTCTGTCTTATTACTAAATATCGTGTTCTTCGCACTTAAACCACATAAAATTCAATTCAACAGCAATACCACAAACTATTTAAAAACAGTATATCTTTAGAATTTCCCATAGAGAGTCTCGAGCACTGGAGATGAAAATGCTTTTTTCCTGTACAGTATTGTCATTGCTCGCCCTGAAATCGTTGAGTTTCTTAATCAAAAATTCGTTTTAAATTCTACAGAATGCGAAATAGATAATTAATAAATTCGAAATTCAAAGTTCGGGCTTCCACGTGCTCATGTGCAGGTGGAGGATAACATTATTAAAAATTTGATGGCTCTAGGTAGCGTTGTTTTTTCACAATGCGAGAAAGAGACTACATTCATGCACATTTTCCTTTATTCCTTTTAAAATAATAAGGAGCGATAATATTTCGTGGCAACAGTTTGGAATGTGAGTCAGCCTTTTACAGTGATTCAACGCAAAATCTCATTTCGAAACTAATAACCTTTCTGCTAAAAAAAGTTTGCTAGAATGCATCGTTTTAAAACCAAGGTCCTATGCCCCTGTATCAAGTACCACTGGCTTAACGAGCCAGGAGTGGAAAACGTTAAAAATATTTCTACATTTTTGTGCTTTAATATCTCTGTTACTTCATACCAGATAAAGAGAGATCTCATTCGATGTCTTAACTGCCACTTGTTTAATCATGTCTGGAGTCTGCAAGTTAAAACCTAAGTGCGTGAAGTGTGTATGTAAGACATAAAAGTTCTGAATGTTAGGCCAAAAAGGTTGAAAATGAAAATGTGCAGTGTTGCAACTGTCTGCAATCTGGACATACTGCAAACAAAATATTCTGTTCAAAATTATATTACGATTACTCAGCAAAAATCCTAAAAAAAGTCTAACCTCGCAATAAATTTAAAAATAGCAAAATTACCCTTTGGTAATAAAGATATTTCGAATGCTGTAGTTCCTTACCAACCAGTGCAGGTTGTTTTTCCTCGAGGTTCAAAATAAAACCCTTTAAAATAATTATGGAAGCCCTGACTACGATGTTATAAGTTCCATTTCTGTGAATTTTAATGTAATCAAATAGCGAAACATTTAAAAGTTTCCAAATATCACACATAAGTAAGAAAACGTATAGTACAATGCCGGAAGTCCGCGCAGTCGAAAACTACACCGATAAATTGTTCATGCTTTCCTCGAGTTTTGAGGGCACCTACGGATGCAGCAATAATTAATCATTTTTATGTAAAGTCGTAATGTTTATTGCTATACATATTTTGATTTTCGTGTTACTATACCTCATTAATTGTTACACTTCATATGTTTCTACACTGTGTTTTTACGCTAACTCGTTTTATGTTTTTACACTTACATTAACTTTAACTAAGATATGATAATTATTTAAGTTCCAATTTGGGGACTGGCACGAACTTGGTTTGCTATGTTTTGTAGCTTCTCATTTCGGTTCATTTGTGTCCACCAGCGGCCGAGCGATAAAGTCGCTGAACACTGGTATTTCCGACCTGGCTTCGAATCCAGGCGAACGGAATGGCTGCATGGGTGTTTCCGTGATTTTTCCCTATGTGTAACTGGTATACGAGCCAGTTTCGTTTAGAAAGTCCTTCACGAAAGCTTTCCTCCCCTTAAGCAGCTAGCCCTAGAGTCCTATAATAAATTGAATCAAACCAAACCATTTCGACTCATTTGCATTCATAAAATGACTCGAAGATTTTAAAAATACGAGCTTGAATAGCTTAGATGTATTTGTTGAACTACGTACGAGCTGTATGACCTTTTTGATACTTTAGATGCCTTTACAAGTTAATACCAGAATTTATTTCGCAGATTTTATATTACGTCAAAGGGGCGTTTTTTTAACATTTTGTCTGTTACATTTATTTATTAAATATCGCGTTCTTCCATACATCGCACTTAACCATAAAATTCAGTTCAAGAGCAATATCGCAAAATAGTTTTAAATTCAGCATGTCTTTAGAATTTCCGATACAGAGTCTCGCGCGCTGGAGATAAAAATGTTTTTTTCTGTACAACGTTGCCATTGCTCGCTTTGAAATCCTTGAGCTAGTTAATCAAAAATTTGTTAAAGTTTTACAAAATATAAAATCGATAATAAAACAAATTCTAAATAAATTTCAAATTTGGGCTTTTACATGCCCATATTCACAGTACGATTACGTTATTCAAAATTCGATGGCTCAAAATACCGTTGTTTTATCGAAATGCGAGAAATAGACATACATTTATGCAGATTTTTCATTATTTAATTTCTTCAAATATAATGCAGGACTGTAACATTCGGTGGCAACAGTTTTAAAAGTGAAACGGACATTTATAGTGAACCAACGCAAAATCGCAAAACGAAAACAATAGTCCTTCAGGGACAAAGCCCCTTTAATACTATCGCCCTTTACTATGTTCAAGAAATTAAATAATGAAGAATCTGCATAAATGTATGTTGTATGTATGTATGTATGTTTTTCGCATTGTGATAAAACAGCGGTACTTAGAGCCATCAAATGTTGAATACTGTAATCATCTACCCGAACATAGGCACATGAAAGACCGAATTTTGAATTTCGAATTTGCTTTATTATCTATTTCATATTTTGTAAAACTTTGACAAATTTTTGATTAACAAACTCAACAATTTCAAAGCAAGCAATGGCAACAATGTACGGAAAACAACAATAATAACTAAAACATTTTTATCTCGAGCACGCGAGATTGTGTATCAGAAATTCTTAAGATATGCTGTTCTAAATATTTTGTGATATTGCTGTTGAATTGAGTTTTATGGTTTAAGTACGAAGAATATGATATTTAATAAATAAAGGTAACATAGAAAACGTTAAAAAAGTCCCTTTGTTCGTAATTTATAAAATCTAAAAGCTTTCTAATTTTTATTTTTATCAAAAAAAATTTTTTTTCCTGATTTTTATTTTTATTTATTTATTTTTAAGTAATGCTTGCAGCTCAATTGTGTAAATAATTTATTATAGCAAGCTTACATTTGCAGTTTACCATTAAAAGTGTGCCATTTTCGAGAGATTTCAATACCCCTCATAAAGAATTCTCTTCCTTTTTCATTTGAGTCATCTCCATTACAAAAACAAACAATTCCTGTGCCTTTTTTTAACAATTCGATTATCTTGTTGTGTGCTAAAAGCTCTGTATCTTCTTCACTGTCGCTTCTTTCACCGTCTAGTGGTGTTTTATAAGATCATCCACTTCTTCATTTCTCATTTCACGAACGTCATTCCTAACTAATTCTTTGACTTCCCCCTTCTTTCCTTTCTGAAAATCCTTTGTCGCCTATTCCTTTTGCAGTTTGTAAGATTTCCTTAACTGCATTTTTAATCTATAGAAATCCTTTAAAACCGTTGACAACTTCTGGCCAGAGCTTGATGCCAAAAAGCATTCATTGTTGATGAATTTATTTATTCCTATACGCGAGTTTAATCAGTTCTATGCAGTGTCTTACGTTTGAATTGCTTCCAAAATACCATTAGTGTGTCGGGCGTTCCTTCTTCTCTTTATTTATTGCAGAGATGTAAACACGCATGACATTAGTTAGATTAAAAGGCAGTGGTTTTCGGTGGAAGAAATGGAGCTTTTAAATTTGGATGCAGCGCTGTGAAGGCTTCCGTATCACGTCCAGCAGCATTGTCGAGAATTAAACTTAAAAAAGCTCAGGGTTTGCTATTCTAATTAATGTTTGACTTCTTGAATGAATGAATTTTCAAACCAGTCATCAAAGAGGCGCCGAATCTCTGCAGCGTACCACGGATGATTGAAATTCTCTCGTTGAACAAATTAAATGGAGACAATTAAGAGAACATGTGTGTGTACGCAAAATCGTGTTCCGCTAGTCCGCGTTCGGCAAGGATTTATGCTTCTAGCCAGAAGAGAACGTTGAACGTATACCT